TCTTTTGGTTGGCTAAAGCTCGAAGTGTGGGGCGAAAAAATCGCCTTTAAAGGAGTTTGAGGATATATTAATAATATTGAGAAACTCAAGTGAGATACTGGAATTAAATAAAACGAAATTAATAAACATTTCAACCACCCACCATTTTGATCCAAACCAAGAGTGTGATGCATGCTGAGTGCAAACTGACGCCAACCAAGTTGTGATACAAAGCCCTCGGCACGAGTCAACATGAACTGGACGAGAGGACCCTGGCGAGCTACCAAAGCAGCCTCCTCAGCAGCTTGTTCCGTAGTTTTCGAAAGCAAACCAATCGTCCCTTTCAATGCCCCGCCCTCAAGTCCGAGTTGTAAATGCCCAACAGAGCCTGTTTCCGGAGACGAGGATCGAGAGGCGGCATTATGCAAATTACCATCACTTGTGGTCTGAATCTTGCTACTCTTCGTTTCAGCAGGAGAATCGGTTGAGGAAAGAGATGGCTTTAACGCTAGTTGGCCGTAATTGTTTAGGCCACAGGCATAGATTGCGCCACTTGAAGCGCATTGAGCCAGAGTGCCAAAACCACCGGCCCAAACATCGCGAAAGCGCACAGATCCCCGGACTCGACATTCAGCGGGACAAAGAAATAGACCTTGAAATAGGTCAATAAAACAAAGAGAAAGGTATTAGGGGCATAAAACCTGGAAAAAAATTAGAAAGTAACGGATATAAAAAATCATACTTTCCTAATTTCGAAAAGCAATCACCCAATCAAGTAATCTGAAAAATCATATTGAGTAATCATGAGTGATGAATTAAATTCATAAATGAAAGTCATTATTAACAGGCTAGGCTTTGAAGAGATGGAGTAAAATGTATCGGAGAGCCATTGAGATGTAAATTCTAGTATAAGAAAGGCTAGATTAGAATTTTTTAATGTTTATTTAAATTTAAGCATGGATGGAAAAAATATCTGGAACTTCAGTTATACTAGGAGGGGAACGATAATACCCAACTTTATCTTGTTGAAACATAACAAGGAGGAATGATCAAGGTTTCCATCTTGAAAAACATCGGAAGCGATACTGTTTATAAACGCAATGATAAAGGTAATGCATTAATGCTAAATATGAGGATTTAAGAGCAAAAGCATGCAACGCTATCGGAGGCTAAAATGCAAAACAAGCGATTAAATTTATAGGAGGTATGTGAATTCCACAATAATTCAACCAAATTATATGCCTTCGTTAGACCCAATTTTTAAGCTCACTCTTCCTATAAATTCGACAAATTTAAATTTACCACAGTCTTGAAAGGAAATATAGGTTAAAGATAGCATTAATTCGGGCGACCAGGAACAAGAGAACCAAAGTATTATTAACAACAACAAATACAGGTACATTCACCAACCGAGAGGTTATTAAAGTTGTCTAGACCAGTTGTGTCAAATTATTAGGTGTTTATGAAAGCAGATAATGGGAATTTAGTTGCCGTAATAGGTTAGGCAAAATAGATGTTAAGGTTAAATAATTTAAGTGAGCCTTTAACCTACATCAAATTTAATGTATAAAGTACATTAAGATTATTTAAAGGACTAAGAAGTATACTGCAGGATCTAGGCGTTTAAGAGGGTATTAATATGAAATTTGAGTTTATATTAGACGAATAACAAGGCAGTCACAGATAAAAAAGGTTTTATAATTAAAAGCAAGGCAAAAGCTAAATAGACGTCATAAAGTCCATAAGTACAACTAATTCAGACTTTGATATTAGTTAGGTATAACCGAATGCGTAAGTACCGGATTAGCAAGAAACTATTGTAAAAATACATCAGTACTGAAAATAATTTGAGTTTAGCAAAATGACTACTTTGGTTAATTAAAATCACACTTCCGGTACTTAGATAAAAAAAGCTAAAAATTTCAGCCAAGCAATTAACTGACTGCTTTGGAATTGTGACTAGATTTACTTGAAGAAGTCACCAATACAGTCTCGTGACCCCAATAAATGTGCTGAGTTCTCGTCGGTGGCATATGATAGGCAGCGTTAGAGCACAAAACAATACTTTAGGAAAATTCACCAGGCCCCAAGACAAAAAGTCGTCTGCAATTCAGTCTGCTTCTTAAAGCTCTAATTCATTCAAATAATGAGACATCTTAATTTGGTTGGCTAGTTCATGCTTTTCCTACATGTTTGTGGATAAGTTATGTGGCTATGAGAATCATGTAAAGTGGCTGCGGATGACGTATGAGGTAGTATGGTTGTGGCCGAACGGCTGCATCCTCAGTTTAATCACGGAAATATTTAAACGCGTAAATTTATTCGAGCATGTGCATGCCGTGCATATGCACGGTAAGTGTGAAAGCATTTATCAGATGAGGCTAATCAAGACTTATATTCATATCAGAGTAGGGTTTCGAGACTACCAGTAAATCAGTGTAATGAGATGTATTCACCCTATTTCATCTAAGGTGA